CTTCCACTATTGAAAGTAGACATCACTCTTATTCTTCTAACCATGCTTTTTTGTCATAACCAACATTATTCTCCAGATTTGTTCAGTTCATATGATTGGAAAACGTCCGTGTCTACTGGTAACCACCCAGTTTCAGACCGAGATTGTGTTACCTAGGGCACCAGAGACATTAAATATATTTATTATGTCAACAAAGTCATAAAAGACATTAAAAGATAATAGACAATAGTAGTAAAAATAATTGTCACAACACACTATTGTTACGCACAGCTTTATTTACAATGCATTGTTACACTATATCACGTACACTATTTATTTTTAGACTAGAGTGAACTGAGAATCTCGTTGTTATCTCCCCTGTCAGTCGACCTATTTTCATTGTCGTGTGCGATAGTATAACAGACAGACAGACAGGCAGACAGACAGACAGACAGACAGACAGACAGACAGACAGACAGACAGACAGACAGACAGACAGACAGACAGACAGACAGACAGACAGACAGACAGTTCACGTTTATCAATACTCTCATGCACAATTTTCACGGGTGACTTCATAGTGTTTGTCAGTTAAATCGGCAGTGCAAGGCTGAGTAATTGACGAGTCAGTGAACTGCGCAACCCTTAAAGTAGGTCACTGGCGAATCACCTTTGAATTGATTCAATATATTCATACTTTGAATTGATTCTTTATATAATTGTAGTGAATATTTGTTGTATTGTTATTCAATGAAGAATAACACGTGTATTGTGTATTGGCGTCGACCGACTTACTCTTACTACTGGTTAAACTTTCCTGTGCAGTTTTTGGGTCACATTCAAGTCCAAAAATATTTGATAGTATTTCCCAAGCTGTATGCTGGATCGCACAAAGTTTAATGTGCTGTTTATTCTACATCTTTTGGATGACTTCCTAACTATTGACCATACAGATGAGAACGCCACACGTACAATGGCTATTATGACTCTGATCTTCAAATCACTGAACATTCCTTTGGCAGCACATAAAACGCAGGGACCCTCACAAGAATTGGAATATTTGGGAATTATCCTAAATTCCAAAGACTTGATGGCCTTTCTACCGGAAAATAAGAAACTCCGATTTATCAGCAGAATATCTGAGTTCACTTCGAGGAAAACGATCACAAAACGGGAAATGTTGTCGCTTTTGGGTCACCTTAACTTTGCAGCTAAAGTAAAGGGCGATCATTTATATCCCACCTCCTAAATTTAGCAGCGTCGGTATCTAAACTGCACCACCACATCTCACTAAACAAGGATTGTCAACTTGAATTAGCAATGTGGAAACATTTTTTACAAGGTTGGAATGGGATGCACATGTTCCTCAACAGTAAAATTACCTGGGCATCAGACTTGAAAATTTTCACCGATGCTTCCTCCACTAAAGGGTTCGGTGGTTATTTTCAGGGATACTGGTTCAGTGATGCTTGGCCAAGAGAACTAAATTTGGATCGCAGTGATGAATTATCTATGGCTCTACTTGAACTGTATCCAATTGTTATTGCCGCCATGTTATGGGGAATACGGTGGTCACAGCACAGAATACAGTTTAACTGCGACAATCAAGCCACTGTGCGTATTATCAAGAAAGGGAGGGCTTCATCGCACTGTTACACCATCAATGCACTTTTGTGTCGCCTGACTCTTTGTGCTATGGACTATAACTTCATTGTGACAGCTACGTTTCTCCCGGGTAAACAGAATGAAATTGCTGATGCACTCTCACGATTTCAATTTCAAAAGTTTTGTATGCTAGCACAAAACGCAAGAGAGATGTCACAGTGTCCACCATTCGATG